CTGGGCGCAAACTCCGATCAGACACAGCTGCAGTGGCGGTGTCGATGGTAGTGGTGGCGGCACCGATGGTAACGCCAGTGCGTCAATATCCAATCGCGGAGCGCGCGGCTGCGCTGGCACCCCAAACGATGCTCCACTGGGCGGGTTTGCCCAAGTTTCGACACGTCGGCGACCGCGTCGCACCGCGGGCACCCGCGGGCCGAACATAGCATGGACGACATAGTTTGCACCGTGCCACCAAAAACTTCCACATCCAACTTGCGCCGCGTTGCCTGTGCTACATGGCTCACACCGCATGCGCTCCACTGCGTATCATTCGCATCCGCTGAACATCGCGCGACTGCTTGGGGCCCGCGGTGGATTGAGCTTCGCTGCGGGCGCTAAGCGAAGCGTCTACATGTTCATCCCCAAGTGCCTACCGATGACACTGCCGCGCCAACCTATGCGTCGACGGAATTCAGAGACGGGCGCGGCGCCCCTCACTCCTCGATGTGGCCGCTGATCCAGCTGGAGTTGCTCTTGTCCTCTGCTTTACACTTGTTATTCTGATTGAAAGATTTGTGTTGGGGTATGTATTAGTTTCGTCCTCTGCGTCGTCGCTGATGGCGTATTCGGTGCTGGCGTCACAGTCGACGACGACGTCGTCGGGCACGTCGGTGGAGATGTCGTCCAGCGTGTCGTCACTGTCGATGCAGTCGTCGTCGTCGCCGCTGTGCGCCTCCGTGTTGGCGTTGCCCTCGTCGTCGCCCCCGTGGAATAGACCCAAGGCCACGTTGGCGCCGCCCAGCGGGTGCGCCCCTGCGCCCATCGAGAGCTAAATGCAGGGGCGTAGGTGGTTGGGGAGGAGGCGGGCCGAGGCCTGGAAACGAGGGCGAGCGCGCGCACCATCACCCTGAAAAGGCAAAAGGGCCACGCGATCTTCAAGAGGAGCGAGGAGGGGATTGCGCGAATCATCAGAGACTCAGCCCAGACCAACATATAAACGCATCGACAACCGAGCAGTAAGGGAAATCGCATAACTAAGCCAAGCTAAGGAACGGAGGCGCGGGCCCGACGCCGTCCGCGAAGGGGGTGGACGGCCCCGCTAGCAGAGTCAGACCCGCGCCCGCGTCGACGTAGAAGGCGCGGCCCGCGGGGAGAAACCAGCGCGTCCAAGGAATAGCGGCAGGGGCAATGAGGTGCGAGCAGGACGTCGGCCAGGTCGAGGCGAGCTGCGAACGCGGAGGCCACGCGCGCGGCAGGCCCAAGTTCGCAAAAGCAGCCCGCGACGCCACGCCACCGAGGCCCGCGACGTCCAGGGGCACGAGGGACTCGAACTTGCCGGCGGCGGTCTCAAAATCGCACCCGCGCAGGACATGCCCTTCCAGCACGCGCAGGGCACGACTGCAGAATGCGTCCTCCGTCCCGCGCGCGGCCCGAAGGGGGTGTTCGTCAGCCTCGACGACGAGGATGGCTTTGGCGCAGGGCGTCTTCCACAACGACCACGGGCAGCCAGCCGCCATCATCGCCGAGACGGCGTAGGGCTCCAGCGCGTCGAAAGGGTCGGTCCCCGCGTAAACCCAGGGCATCGAAAACTCGTGCGCCGAGGGGTCCGCGGAATCCTTGGAGCCTCCGCCCCGCAAGATGCCCTGCGCCCCGCCGAGGTGCGTCCCGCGATTCAGCGTGCGGCCGCCGCCTGCCTCGCCGTGCCTGAGGATGATGACCTCGGCGTCGCCGCCCTTCCTGTTTTTCGCGAGCTGCTGCGAAATCAGAATGGGCGGAGGCAGCGTGGCGATGAAGGCCCCGAGGTAGTCCTGGGAAGATCTCGGCGCATGCGCCTCGTCTCTCGATCGGCCACGGGGTTCGGCGCGCCGACGCCCCGCTGCCAACTGCGTCGGAAGCTGGGGACTCCATGCGCAGAATGTCCATCATTTTCCTCCTCATCTTCCCTCTCCTCCCCCCGCCGCTGGGCTTCCCGTTGCGGGTTCCTCCTGGTCCCCCCCCTTCATCCTCCTTCTCCTCCTCCTGATATTCCGCCTCCTCCTCCTCGTCCTCCTCATCATCATTATCCTCCTCCTCCTCATCATCATCCTCCTTCTCCTCCCCCTCATCCCCTCATCCCTCTCCTCCCCCCTCCTCCTCCTCCTTCCCCTCCTCTTCCTCCTTCCCTCGTTGAGCATCCCGTCGTGGCCTCCCCCTGGTGCGCATTATCCTCCTCATCTTCCCTCTCCTCCTTCCCCCGCTGGGCATTCTGTCGCGGACTCCTCATGGTCCTCCTCCTCCTCCTCCTCCTCCTCCTCCTCCTCCTCCTCCTCCTCCCCCTCCTCCTGCTCCTCCTCCTTATCCTCCTCCTCCTCCTCCTCCTCCTCCTCCTCCTCCTCCTCCTCCCCCTCCTCCTTCTCCCCATCCTCCTGATCCTTAGCTTCCTCTTCCTCCTCCTCCCCCCCTCCCCTTCTTCCCCTCCTCATCCAGGGATGGCATGATCATTGCCATCACCACCAAAACGAAATCAAAACGAAGC